TTTTTTTTTTTTTTTTTCAAATTATAAAAGAAGCACTTGAGTATTTTCAACTTACCATAAGCACTTGATGCTTGGTATAGATTTACCCTATTGTCTTCAGAGTTACAGATTTATTGTTGAGTTTCTTTCAGTTTTTCATGAAAGTAGGTTTAAGATATTTGAACATTTTTCAGAGTTTCACTTATCTGCATTCACTGCAAAAGTTTCACTTATCTGCATTCACTGCAAAAAGCTCACTCACTGAAGGAATACACTGGTAATAAGCCTGCTTTATGATTGTAACTGATCACCAGTATACTTTACATTTGTACACAAAAAATAGAAGTAGCACAACCGGGAGGCTATTTATTAGCTTATCATCTTCATTACACGAAATCCTTGATGAGGATTTTATATGCTACGAACATATGATCGCAAAAATCGAGTCTTTCTAGTCATCCTTCTTTTTTGACAAGACAAACCGAATCCTGTAACAGTAATTCCCAATAGCGAGCCTTTCCAAGTGGACTGCAGCACAAAAGGGATTATAGCTCTTAAAAAAAGAAATGATTAACGAATAACGGATAAGATTTTAGAAGCTCCGTTAGCGTGAAATAGTTGCAAATCAAGAAAAGGTATTATCCATAACCAAGAACTCGACTAACCTCGGATTATTAATCACTGAACCCCAAATATATATATCTGCCCAAATAAAATCTTCAATAGAAAGCTTAAACTGGAACAGCCACAGGCCTTTTGCTGGTTTTGATGCCTTTAATAGCTGCAAACAAGAAAAAAATAAGTTGTGATGAAAAATTTTAATGAAGTTCAAGTGGTAATGTTGCAATCTTACCTTCGGCATAATCGGGAGCTCCGAAAACAGCAGAGCCAGCAACTAAGGCATTAGCCCCAGCTTCAATTACCTGTCGACATTATTATCAACTTTAAAACCAGCCCATGTGCTAGTTTTGACATATCGTGAGATTAAACCGAACTTGTTTTAAAGTAGAGAATTTTCAATTAAGTGGTGCATTTTTTGCTAATTGAAGCAAAACTTGCACTCTTAGATACACTTTCTCACTTGAGCACACAAACCGAACTACCAAGTAGAGGACACATAAAAACTACGAAATTAGTCAATTACAATAGAAAAAAAAAAAAACTATGATTTAGTGCTGCAAGGCAAGAATCTCTTTCAGAAAAAAAGGCACAATATATAAAAACTTAAAATTTTCCAAAGGAAAAAAGTTCTTACCTTGTAGGCATTTTTAGGGCCAACTCCACCATCTACCTCAATCCATGGGTTTACTCCCTGTGAGCAGACACAATAGCAATGAGAATTCTACAAACATTTCAAGAAAAAACGGCATACATAAATATAATCAGTACTTTCTCGGCACATATTCTTCTCAAGTCTGATATTTTCTTTACTTGGCTCTCTATGAAGCTTTGCCCGCCAAATCCAGGGTTGACAGACATAATTAGTACCAGATCAACCACTGTAAATTAGATTAAAACAGAGGCAAATACTAGAATATGTCAATACACTCGCTCTACCAAAAAATATGATCAGATGCATTTTCTTTAATGTCTACGTAAGGACTAGCTTTCAAAACTTTCGAATGAGAAAACTGGATAGATCATCAAGGAACAAAAAACACACACACACACACACACACACATGATCGAATGTAACTCTTTTATCTTTGAATTTTTCCTCAAGTAAAATGCAAGCATCAGGGCTGCATTAGGATTTATGAATACATATCTCCCAACAAGAAAAAAGAAAGAACATAAATTATTTAATCTTACCATCAAGAACATACTCTATGGTGGTCAATGGAGTTGCAGGGTTCAGCACAACTCCAGCTTTAGCTCCCAGACTCTTAATCTAAACCAGAAAAGTGTGAATGCAGTTAACAAATTAGTTACACCATGAATATCTAAACAAATAACTCCTGACAAATATAGGCCTAACACTCAAAATGACTTTTTTTGGTTAACTAGAGTTAATTTTGAAAAAAGTTATATAGTTAGTTGTTAGTGGAATTACGATATTATATTAAAATAATATTTAAAATAAAATAATTAAAGTTGATTTAATATAAAAGTAGGATAGAGATGATGAAGTGATAGTTAAAATTATGTGAGTAGATGAATAACAAATTAAAGTTGATGTGATGTGTAAGAATGATTGGTTAGTATTATTTATAAGTATTATTTATATATATTGATAACATTGAAAATAGTGGAGTTGAGTTAAAGTTGAGTTAAGTTTTGAATATGAATTGAGTTTTTTGATATACAAACACACCCTGATAAACATTCTCAACTCTCAAGAAAATGACGCTTGACGTTGTCAAACTAAAATCCATAAGTCAGTAAAACCACTCGACTACATCTGATTTGGCAAACTCCTATTGATAGAACAATCAAACAAATTCTTGACCAAGTTTGCCTTCCTTTTTTATTTGCATGGCCAGCCATAATCTTACTTGATTCAATGTACGGTGCAAATGGATGGTTGAAGATTGTTCACAGTGAACACTGACTATATCAGCTCCAGCCTTTATAAAGTCCGGGACTCGCTGCTCAGGTTCCACAATCATCTGACATGCTTTAAAAATGTTAAAAAAGACGTGCATTATATAATGAAAGATACATTTTATCTTAATAAATCTTATAACTTAGAAAGTGGAGTGGAGTACCAAATGCACATCCAATGGCAGATCCGTGACTGGTCGAAGGGCATCGACAACGAGGGGCCCAATCGTAATATTCGGCACAAAACGACCGTCCATCACATCAACATGAATCCAATCACAACCAGCCAACTCAACTGCTTTGACCTATTCGTGTAAACAAAAGAAGATGAAAGTTGAAATATCATTCCTATGCAGCACTTGCGAAAATGATAGAATACAGGAACGCAAATATGAATTTTGTTTATATTTCTAACAAGAGATTGTGAAAGCAAAGGTGAGGTAGTAAGAATGTTACCTGTTCTCCTAATTTGGAGAAGTTAGCAGAAAGAATAGATGGAGATACAATTATGTCAGTTTTCGAGAACTTATCGACACGAGAAGTTGCCTTCACCACAAGTCTAGAATGTCTTCTGCATAACACGTACCAGAAAGAAAAGGGCTCAGCAAGAACGGAAATTCTTTTTTCAGAACTTCATTGGTGACCCAACTAGCATAAGCAAAACAATGAAAAAGCCAATTGCAACGCAAAATTTTTGTAACTCGCAATATCATTACAATTAGCAAAATGTATTCTTGATATTAAGCCGTGTCCCGTGTGAACATGTTATCAGTAAAAAATAAATGTCGTTTGTGGCGACAAACTCTAAGAATTTAGAACATAAAGAATGCAAATCCCCTTTACTTACAACCCGAATAGGAATCGAAACAATCAAAAATGTAATCCTAACGAACGTAATGCTGAAATTTCTCTGGCAATAACCGAAACTCAAACAAGCATTTTCACAAACACATGATATTCGAACCCAGCAGAGCTAGTTTCACCATCACATAACAGCAAAATGTGGCTACAACAAATTATGCCTACATTAATAGCACAATTCACCCGTTTTATCAGGCAGCAAGTCAGAAATTACCCTTTTAGCATAAACAAAATACTAACAAATACATAACAACAACCACAGCATCATCAGAAACCTTAATCGCTAACTCAACAAAGACTTGTAGAACCGTAGCCCATCAGAAAAATAAGAAAGAATCAACATGCACCTCGTTGAAATAAGTGAATTAGGAGGTGAAAGCGAAGGCTTTTGGCCTCTAAATCCCCCAGAGGTTGACTGAACTATAGCTGACGAACCCAAAGAAGCAGTTGCTGATGCCATATCTGCAATTCACAAAGATGCTATCTTTTTCTTCCTCTTCTTCTTGCTGGCCTTTTTCAGATACTTCAATCTAAATTCTTGACGATACAAGAAATGGGGAAAGAGGGTTTTCGTATGGATGAATTCTTGGGGGTGTTTCGTATGGCTGACACGTGGGCAGCAAGTTATCTGCAATGGTTGGCCGCAATCCAATGCCAAATGGGTCCTCCCTCGCCGTCCACGACACTTAACACAAAAATTATTCATTCATCAATCGAAAAGTAACACTTTCTTTCATTCATATCATCTTTATATTATTTTTTCATTAAATCTCTCTCTATTTAAATACACACTCATGTTTATACCCATTTATTTAAATACATATGTAGGACCTATTATCCACTCATTCACTATAATTTTTATATTCTATTCTCAATAAAAATAAATTTTAATATTTCAAATAATAATAATAAATATTAAATGCATGACAATAATAAAACACTACAAGACCAAAATAACTTAAACTAAGATTATACAAGATAAAATTTACAAAGTGTGATATAGTGGATTTCCATCCTTCACTTGGTATTTTATGCACAAAGATCTAACTACATAGTTGATATTCAATGTTTGCATTATCATATCAACAAGATGTTGGTATGTGCAATCTTCTTGCACAACTATCCCACAAACCTTGTAACTAGTGTATTTTCTTCACTTTCCCATTTTCCGTTGTAGTGAACAAATGTCAAGCTTACCTAGCCCGCGGGGGTGGGCCGGACTGGCATTTTCAAGACCCGCAGGATGGCGGGCCGGCCCACCCACCCACCCCACCCCATTGGCTTGTTTTGACATGTCTAGTCCTGGACTCTTGTAGCTAGCCCCTCGACTCCTTCCGGAGGTAAAACACGCGATGTGCCTTGTTGCCAGCCGCACCACCCCCTTTTATACTCTAGCACCCCAAAAGGTCTAAACTTCACAAAGTTGATTACCAGTCTGTCCCATTTTCTCCAAATGACGAAAAAGCTGCTGAGGTTTTCTCCCTCTAGGATTCAACTCCCATACGCAGAGCATTCGTGCCCAACGTAAGGCAGTTGTGCTACCAGGAGGCTATGCCCCGAAGGGTAGATTAATTCTCTTTGTTATAATAAAGAGAGTAGGATTTGTCACAACAACAACACCAAAGTTATGCTCCAAGTTTTGGCGATGATTACAACCACACGCTTGTGCGCCCCTGTCGCCCGTCAGCCGTCTCGACTCGGGCACGGTCTGGGTCTTGGTACTTGATAATCGAACTATGAGTTGAACTTGGGTGGTCTTAGACGATTCGGATAAGTCTTGGACTTGGCCTTGAGCC